GAGATAGACACACAGAGGAAAGATAGAAGCCATGTGACAATGAAGGAGGTATATCTATAAGGAGCAAAGGAACACCAAAGATTACCAAGAGCCATCAAAGACTAGGAGAGAGGCATGGAATTGTTCCTCTTTCAAAACCCTTAGAAGGAATTGACACAGCCAATACCCTGATGTACACATACAACCTCCAGAATGGTGAGACAATAACTTTTAAGCTACTCACTTTATGATATGTTTTCCTAGAAACTAAGACATGAGTTTCTCTTTCTTTGTTTTCTTCTTTTCAGAATAACAGTTTGGTTCCCTAGCATCCTCCAAAGGTTATCAATGGGTTCGGATTCTTTTCAATTAGCTTATGAATGCATGATTTTAACATTGTTTATGTTATTCAATAAATTTCAGGTATTATTCTTTTTGATGCCAAATTGTTTCATCTTTGCTCCACTGGGAACCCTCTGAATTTAGTTCCCATGAGCTATGTTGTTGTTGTTGTTGTTATGTGCCCTCGAGTCGCCCCGACTCATAGCAACCCCTCCTTGGGTTTCCGAGGCAGTATCACTACGGATAGTAGGCTTGCCCAACCTTCCTTCCGAGGAGTGGCTGGTGGGTTTGAACCGCCAGCCGTCTGGTTAGCAGGCAAGTGTCTTAGCCACTATGCTACCAGGGCTCCCGTGAGCTATATATATAGGCTATCGTAGTGTAGTGCCTAAGGCACTTGACTGCTAACCAGAAGGCTGGTGGTTCAAACCCACCAGCCACTCCTCAGAAGGAAGATTGGGCAATCTACTTCCGTAGTGATACTGCCTCGGAAACCCAAGGAGGGGTTGCTATGAGTCAGGTCCGACTCGACGGAACATAACAACAACAACAAATATATATAATTGTGATTTGGTGAAAGTTTACAAAGCAAATTCATTTTCCATACAGCAGTTCATATGCATTTTGTTTCATGACGTTGACTACAATTCCCCATAAAGTAACAGCTCTATTCCTACTTCCTCCCTGTAGTTACCTCTTCCTTGTATCCTTCCCTCCCATGTGCTTCCACCCCCAGAGCTGTCTCCCTGTGCAAACATTGCCCTTCTGTTCTCCCATGATTGGTCGCTCCAAGGAGTGTATCTACCTGATGTTCACCCCATATGCCTGTCTGTTGTTTGGCTGGAAGCCACAGGACTGAGTTCAGTTCTAGACCTGAAGGGTAACTAGGGGCCATAGTCTCAGGAGTCTCACAAGGCTCTATTAGACCAGCCAACCTGGGTGATTTTGAGTTTTATTCTACATTGTTCTCTCACTCTATCCAGGATGTCCTGCACCAATCCTCCTCTCAGTGGTTGAATTGGTAGCTGGGAACCATTTAGTTCTGGTTCTATAGGCTAAGGGTGGCATGGTCTACCAGTCCCTTGGACTAACCGTTTCCTTGAGTCTTTGGTTTTCTTTATTCTTCTTTGCTCTGGATGAGGAGAGACCCATCGTTGCATCTAGATGGCCACTCGTAAGCTTTTAAGACCCCAGTTGCTACTCACCAAAGTATGATGTAGAACAATGATTTGTGTAGTATGTTATGCCAATTGAGCTTGATGTCCCCTGTGACCATGGTCCCAAACCCATAGGTTCAACTACTCACTCATTCAGGGTAGCTGGCTGTGACCAAGAAACCACCAAAAACTTGCCCCTTGTCATGAGCTGGACTTTTAAAAGCCAGAACAAGATATATTTTTGTTTATGTTTTTCTCAAAAGATGGGAAAAATATTCGACATGCCTAAGGTTACATTTAAGGAGCAATGGTGGCACAATGAAGAAGTCCTGGTAGTGCAGTGGTTAAGTAGAAAGCTGTTAACAGAAAGGTCAGCAGTTCAAACCCACCAGCTACTTCATGGGAGAAATATGTGGCAGTCTGTGTTCTTAAAGATTACAGCCTTGAAAACCCTATTGGACAGTTCTTCTCTGTCCTGTAGTGTTGCTATGAGTTGGAGTCAATTTATGGCAATGGTTTGGATTTGGGTTTGCTGGCACAAATGTTAAGCACTCAGCTATTAACCAAAAGCTGGGTAGTTCTAACCCACCACCTCCCTATGAACTTGATGGCACACAACAACAAAGTTACATTTAAGAGTGTGGGCAAAAACTAATTTCTTTGAGTGAGTTTGAAGACACTATAAGAGAGGATAAAATGAATTCATGATTGTATTTCATGAAGGCTTTGCAAATGAAAGACTCCCAACTATTACGACAGTTACTGGCAGTATTGTGCTTTTCCAGATAAGAACATGTGTATGAAGTCTGTACATCTTTTCATCTGAAACAATCAAGCATGAATCTACCCTCTTCAAAGGAGTTTATAGTCTAGTTTGAGAAGATTGCACTGTATTGGAATTAGTTTTGCTACTAGTGACAGAAGCTTCAAAATTAGAATATAGAAGTTTATTTCTCTTTAGGCTAAAAAACAATGATCTATGCTGGTGTAGAGGACCCCACATGGTTATAAGGACCCCAGGGTGTTTCAATCTTGTGCTCTATTGCCCTCAACTAGGACTTCAAACCAGTTCATTCCAGTTCAACCACTTGCTAAGAATTTATATTTCCACCTTGGATATACTGAATCACAATCTGCATTTTAACCAGTTCCCCAGGTGATGTATAGTATACATAAGAATCATCAGGGGATTCTTACTAAAAATAAAATTAAACTAAAAACCCACTGCCATTGAGTCAATCCAGACTCATAGTGACTATGTAGGACAGAGCAGAACTGCCACATAGGATTTCCAAGGCTGTAAATCTTTATGGAAGCAGACTGCCTCATCTGTCTCCCATGGAGAGGTTGTTGGGTTCGAACTGCCAACCTTTTGATTAGCAGCCAAGAGCTTTAATCACTACACCAGATCTTATAATAGTGTTTTCTTATTTATCCTTGTCCAGGACATGCCATCTGTGCTTACATGAAAATTTCTTGGGTCTTTACTTCATGCTGGAAGTAGGGTTCACATATTATATTTCAACTTACACACTAACCACAAGGCAAGATATCTGACTAGCATCCACCATTCACAGAGTTTATCAGAGCCTCGTAATGAGACTAAGGGTCAGAGAGATTATATAGCTTTCTCAAAGAAAAACAATGTAGTGACAGAGCTGGGATTCCAACACAAGTTTGTCTTCAAAACCCATGCATACATTATTATGCCATCCAAAAGATTTACTTATTTTCTGGTCTACTAAGTTTAACGATAGAAAAATAAATTACTTATCTCTAGCATATGAAAACATCAATGGGCTTTAATTTAAATTAGATTTAAAAAAATTCAATATATTTCAAATAGTTGCTGTGATAATTGTTTTATGCTCCTTGTCTCTTTATGGGAGCTCTGGTGGTGTAGTACCTAAGGCATTTGACTGCTAACCAGAAGACTGACGGCTCAGACTCACCAGCCACTCTTTGTAAAGAAGACTGGGCAATCTACTTCCATACAGAAACTGCCTCAGAAACCCAAGGAGGGGTTGCTATGAGTCGAAATCGACTTGATGGCAGTGAGTTTGGTTTTTGGTTTTTGTCTCTTTTAATTATCCAATCCCGCTTGGTGATTATTCATTCAACATTTTTTTTTTTTAATTAATTAACGTTTTAATAGGCTAGGTCTTGTGATGACACTGGGGATATAATGGTGGGCAAAAGCAGACCTAGTCCTTTCTATCATAGAGCTTCTAGACTAATGGAAAGACAAAAATTAATTTTAAAATCTCCCTCCATATGTACAATCACAAATGTGGTATAAAGAGAAACATATATAAGGTGCCATGTGTGTATAACTGTGGGATTTGACATAGGAAAGCCATAGGACAGCTTCCCTGAAGAAATGGCATGTAGGCTGAGACTTGCAATATAATACAATGTTAATCAGACAAAGAAGGGGAAGAAAGTATTTTCAGAAGGCATGAGCAGCAAGTGGAAAGCGGTAAGAGAAGAAAACATGAGGGCCAGAGAGAAGAGCAAGGAGACCGAGTGAGCATAATGAAATGAGTCTGACAAGGAAGCCAGGGAGGACCTCTGTGGAGCCTTGTGTAGGGTACTGTTACTCCCTTTTCACAGATGAAAAAATTGGGCTTGCAGCCCTTGAGTGATTTGCCCACAGTCTCAGAGATAGTTAGGGGGCAGAGCTAGAAATCAAACGGAGGTAGATAGAACTACGTTGTTATTAGCTGCTGCCGAGTCATGGACCCCCTACATATGTCCATGTCCTAATTTCCAGAACCAGTGAATATGCTAGGTTGCATGGCAAAGAGGAATTAAGGTGGCAGATGGAATTAAGGTTGTTGCTAATCAGCTGACCTTAAAATAAGGGGATTATCCTGGATTATCAGGATAGGCCCAATATAAACACAGGTGACCTTTAATATGGAAAAGAGAGGCAGAAAAAGTCAGAATGATATGAGGTGAGAAGGACTCAACCTATTTTTGGCTTTGAAAATGGAAGATCAGGGCCATGATCCTTTATGTAGGTACCTGTGGAAGCTGGAAAGGGCAAGGAAATAGATTTTTCCCTAGAACCTTCAAAAAGTAATATAGCCTTGCTAACACCTTGGTTTTATCCCAGAGATCCATTTTGGACGTGTGAACTACAGAACTGTAAGATAATGATTTGTGTTATTTTAAGTTACTAACTTTGTGGTAATTTGTCACAGCAGCAATAAAAAAAAAAAAAAAAGAATAGACAAACTAAGACTAATTGGCTCCAGAGGCCATGTTTCTATACCTGTGCTAGGCCTCAGCTACTGGATGGGCTAAACCAGAAACTCTAAAGATTAAACTCTAGTCCTTAATATGATTTTGAGTCTAAGGTTCTTCAAATATCTTTTCCAAACTATGTAACAAGTGGTATAAATTTTTTTACATATGACTCTTTTGTGAATTTTGAAAGGATGTGGTTATAGCCTTTGACATCAGAAGGGAAGCTCTGCAATGCTGACTGAACCTTGATAGAAAGATAACACTGGAGGCAAGTTGCCTTTGAACAACTCTCAGAAGGCCAACTGCCTCTCCATCATATTCCTTGCTCAGAAGCTCTTTCCTCTTGCTGTGCTAAGGGGTGATGCTCAAGGCACATCACTTTTCAAGAGTAAGATCATGAACAACTTTATCCTTCTGGAAGAACAGCTCATCAAGAAATCCCAACAAAAGAGAAGAACCTCTCCCTCGAACTTTAAAGTCCGCTTCTTTGTTTTAACCAAAACCAGCCTGGCATACTTTGAGGACCGCCATGGGGTATGTGAGCCCTTTGTTTTGTCTTCCTTTGAATAATATTTTGTATTTAGACTGGATAGTTTATGAAGCTGTACATGGAATAAAATAGAAAAAACGGAACACAAACGTGCTGGTTATAACAACCAAAAAGTGCCATAAGAGTAATCAGAATGGAATGTGGAACGTCAAGAGGTGAGGTGGTTATACTAGATGATTTCAAATCTAAAAAACATAGAGCTGTAAGTTTGTCATAAGCTTTCCTCCCCCCCTGCAGGGCTAAGCTCAATTTAAAAATTTTAATAACATTACATATAACAAATACTTTGATTGGAGAGAACTTGAACTTCATTTGAAATATATTACATGCTATGGAACATAAATTCATAACAGACTAGTATTTGATGGAACCTGCAAGGTTATATAGACCAGTTGCTTTAGTTTACACTGGAGGAAACTGGTACCTGAAATGATTATGTGCTGGATCCAGTGGCTCTGAGCCTTTGAGTAATTTGGCCATATTTTACAGCTATTAGGTGGTAGAGCCATAATACAACCTATGGGAGATAGAATCAGTATTTTCATCAATTCAACTCATTTGTCTCAACAGTCATAGTTCACCTGACATCTTGGAATAATATTCCCTGAGCATTTAATTATCTAAAATGTTGCCCAAAATTTGCAAGGCACAATGGTAAACACCTTAACTGGGAATCTTCCCAAGAGACTAGTATAATCAAGTAAAAAGTGATCTATAGTGCAAACTAGAGGTTCTTATCCATAAGATAACAGCTGCTTAGCTAAGTCAGACTTTTTTGTATATCTAAAGGTACTCTCATGTTCCAAAACATCATTAATAAGAGCAACGTGAATAATTATAACAATGTAGTTTGGTAGAAAAAACATTGAATCAGGGATCCAAAGACCAAACTCTACTTTTCACTAGGTAATTGAGCCTGAGCAGAAGTCTCCACCTTCCTGGCTAAGGTTCTTTCTTTATAAAATGAAAAGACTGGAAATAATGACCTACAAATTCCCTTCCTTCTTAAAAAATTCTTTGGTTCAATTAGCACTTCTCATTGTACTGTTTTTCCATTATTAGGGAGATAGGGAGGGGGCTGTCACCTTTATTTTACTGAAGGAAAAATAACATTAGCTGCTTAATGGTAAGGTGGAGACAAGCTGCTCTCACTCTTTGCTGAGTTCTGACTTAGTGGGTTTGGGCAGGTGTGTGGGGTCTTTCGAGAGCCAGGCTCTGAAGCATTCAGTGACATGGAATCTTGAATAAGGCCAGATGGTTGTATAGAGCCTATGGGTGTCTGTCCATTTTAAGTAGCAGGTGAAATAATATTCCCTATTTTTTAGAGAGGATAAGACTTGCTCAACTCCTTTTCACAAAACTAGATACAAGCCATTCAGCAGATTCTTACTGGTAATAATCAACCAGTCAATCAGAAAACATATGGTTATTACTGATTAAGTCTTAGGCCCCTTTGACAGGTACTTAACAAATCTTTGTTGACTAAATTAATAGCAGGCCAGTAGCCAAGTTTTGATCTTAGATGATTCAACATATAACCCAAACCAAACCCTACTTGCTGTCATTGAGTTGATTCTGACTCATTGTGACCCTAAAGAACAGAGTAGAACTGCCCCATAGAGTTTCCAAGGCTGTAAATATTTTTGGAAGCAGGTTGTCATATCTTTCTCCCACAGATCAGCTGGTGGGCTCGAACTATGGACCTTTCACAGCCAAGCTCTTTAACCACTGTGGTTCCTTGATTCAATAGATAGAGCTGATAAATCACATGACATTGGTCAATTTTTTTCTTATTGTGAATAGGCCATTTAAGGTTCTTGTTTCATATTGCAAGAATCGTCATGTGTCTTAAATATTCTTTTTCAAAGTCCACTTTACAGTTGTCACCATTTTTTTCCCCTGACTCTACATAGCATCATCTCATTTAGTTAGTACTGATTATAATTCCTGAGCAGCATAGCTGTTTGTGAATTGTTTTGTTCTGAATTCAGTGCAGTATTATTTGTAAATAATCATAAAACAAATTACCTTGACTCAGAATTTTGGTTGTAATTTTTTTTAGACAATGTTATGGAATCATTCCACTTCACTTGAGCATTATGAAAAATTCCAACATCATTCATTCATTCTGGGTGTGGGTGAGCCCTGCACTAAAATATCTAAAGTTTCTAGGATATAGAGAATACATGAAACAGCATCAAGTTTATTGTTTTCTAATGACTACAGTCCATATTTATAAATGACTAAAGAAAAAGCATTTCTTTAAATATTATAGAAATTGGTTAGAAATTTAAAGTTAAGATAAATGAGTCATTACCATTCATATTTCTGTTTATGTCCCATTGTTTAGGGTCATTGATTTCACACAGGAATGCATTGTGCACCCCCATAAATAACAAAAGCATTATATTTACAAGAAGAACTTTTTATTTTTAAATTAAAGCCTTAGTCTGCTCATCTGTAAAGTGGGTGTGATGATAGTACCCCCTTCATGGTAAAATGGTAAAGTGAAGACAGATAATGTATTTAGGCTGATCTATTTGAAATTACCACTGTGTAGATAAAAAGTGTTTTGGGTGTAGGCAATTCCATATCGTTGTTGTTGCTGTTGTTAGGTGCCCACGGGCTGGCTCCGACTCATAGTGACCCTATGTACAACAGAATGAAATACTGCCCGGTTCCATATAATTCAGCTTAATACATAAGTACAGCCAGTCCTTGTTGTTCTGTTTTGTAAAATCACTGTGAGCACTGAGTTAGTGACCAGCTATAACTCATGCCTGAACGAAGCTTATTTAACACATGTATTTTCTCCAAAAGGCACATCACAGCCTTTTTGCACTTAGGAATGCTGGATAGCACTTTAGCAGTAAATTTAAGGGCCATTTTACATAGCGAAATCACCAATAAAACACAAATATGCAGAAAACATGATATTAAATATACCATGAAAAGGGTACTTGTTTGCCGTATGAGAGTTGAAACCAGAAGGCAGCACATTGCATTGTTCTTGCCTTGCTCTTTAGCTGAGACTGTGTATGATGAGAGACAACATTTTTCACTGCTCAGTTCATGTCTGCAAAAGCACCACAAGTATTGATTTGGGGGTTACAAATTTGCAAATATGGACTATACAAATAATGAAGACCAACTGTACTTAGCATAGGTCCTGCCACCTAGTAAGGAGAGGCCATTATTTGTATCATCCCTGAAGAACTAGTAGTAGGTTGCATAGCACATTCATTTTCAAATGAAGGGAAACGTTAAAGAATGCTTCAAAGTCAAGCTAACAACAGGTTCCAGTCTTCCTTCTGTTCTGTCACTGAAGACAAGTTTGTGGGGACAGACATGCATACCTCACCAGCTATGTGAAGGTAGGCCTCTCAGGGTCTTGGCTTCTTTTTCTCTTTCCTCATTTGAAATTGTAGTTTTAACTATCTGTGATTCCATGATAGTATATGAAAACTACCCTTTCTACACACAGGTATACCTCATTTTATTGTGTTTCATTTTATTGAGTTTTGCAGATACTGGGTTTTTTACAAATTGAAGTTTGGTGGCAACCCTGCATTGAGCAAGTCTAGGGGCACCATTTTTTCAATAACATGTGCTCACTTCATGTCTCTGTGTCACATTTTGGTAATTCTCACAACATTTCAAACTTTTTCATAATGCTATTGCATACTTAATAGACTACAGTATAGTGTAAATATAACTTTTATATGCACTGGGAAACAAAAAAATTCGTGTGACTCACTTTATTAAGATATTTGGTTTATTGCGGTCTTCTGGAACTGAACCCACAATCTCTCTGAGGTATGCCTGTACTCAAGAACAAGTTCCATAATTCTGCAAATTAAATATTTTTATTCTAATTTTTAATTCACATGCCTACTGTCATTATAATGGTGATTGAACAAGCCTCTTATTTTAACATGGATTTAGTACTGATGTAAGATGCCTGTTTCCCCTATTGAGGTGTGCAAGTGTTTTCACTCTGCTGAAGCAGTGCACCAAAATTACTCTAGAAGAGCCAGAAAGCAGCACAGAGTGGGCAGGGGGTAGCTTATAAGCAGGTGTGACTTCAGATGTTACCCTATGTTTGCCAACTTCTTTGAAAAGTGGTCTCAGATGGCTGAAATTCTTTAACAGAGGATAGTGAGAGGTAAGGACGCAGTGGTGTGCTGGTAAATGCTTATCAACCTTGGGGGTGGGGAGAGAAGAGGAAGTGTTAGGAGCTCTGAATCATAGTGGTCATTGATTTCCCTGGTGTCAATACTCCCACCATGGTATTTCAACGAACCAATGTGACATCTACTGGCTCGCAACATTCCTGAAAATTTAGCAGTTGGCTCTTGTAGACCAGCACAAGTCAGATCCAGCACACCAATAGCAGCTTAAATCCTTGGAGAGGCAGTCACCAACTGAACAACAAATAGGTAATCCCTGATTTATGACAAGGTTCCATCCTGATGACTACTGTGTTGTAAGTCAGTTCTGATGCAAGTCAAATACCTCATTTTTTTCATTATTATCACCTTTTAGTATCAATATCTTTATAAACCCAAACTTGTCTTTGGAGGTTGGAATGAGAATGATAACATCAGGAAATTACACACTGAAATGTTGTATGTAGTACATATTACTGATGATAAGATGTGCAAAAAATACAGATGGTCATAAGCACAGTTCGTCATAACTTGAATACATCGCAAGACAGGGACTGCCTATACCTACACATGACTTATATCAGATCTTGTTCATGGGATAAAGGAGAGAAACAGAGGACTCCTTTCTCTGCTTTAGAAACATTGCATAGTGGTTAAAAACACAGTTTCAGTGTCAGACAGATTGGGGTGAAAGACCTGCTCCATCACTCTAGAGCTGTGAGACTTAATGATGTCCTACCTCTAAAAAGCTATTTACATTTGGAAAGCTGAGTAAATATTCTTTCTTGATGTTATTTTCCTTTAACTAATTGGAG